AGCAAGTGGTCATCTGAACAAGTCCCAGCTATCACACAGGAGAAGTTCAAAGGAGAAAATCCAGCTGAGGCATTGGAATGGGCTGCCCGAGGCAGTGGTGGTGAGGCAAATGATGGAGGGGGAGTCACCATCCCTGGAGGTGTTTAAGGAAAGACTGGATGAGGCAAATGAGGAATGTCAAAGAGGAGTGGCTGAATTAAATGAAAGATGGAAAAGGGTTTTAAAATTGCAAGAAACAGCGGGGAGCAGGGGCAGAGGGGTACAACTATGATGGGTAGGGTGTCCAAATTCTTGAAGCATCATAATGAAAATAGGTATGTTAAGAGGGGTTAAGTGCACAGATGATGGGACTGGTACTTCAACTTGCATTATGTCTTTGATTATTGGATTTGTGCACTTGAAAACAGTATAAATGAAATAGCTCAAAGTAGCTTTAATATATGGATGGAAATTAATCTAAGTACAAAACAATATCCCCATTTCTCCCTAATTTGGCTCCTCTGTCAGCCTTGATTTCTGAGGTGAGCAGAGGAAGGGCTCTGCATTTAGATACCCTACTTTTTCTTTGTAGTTGCTCATTTGCCTCAGGGAGCCAATTATAGGGCAGAAATGAAGCATGATCAGCCTTTCATGCAGGAATTTCATCCTCACAGAACTGAGAGTGTAAGAAGAGCAGATACTAATTTCTTGCTGATAAATTTCTCAAAACTAAGAGGAATGCCAGCGAACAGCACACCTATGAATTGTAGTTGTAGACACAATTCATGTCTCTCAGGCTGTTAGTGAAGATGTGCTTTGGCTTTGAAAGGTGATCCTTGCCAAAGCCTCCATCCTCAGGAAGGTGCCTGTGGTGCTGGATGTGGCAGCTGACTCTAATCAGTACCTTACCTACACACTGAAGGGGGAAAAAAAGACTTTTTAATTTTTTTTCAAATTTTCAATTTCAAGTGCTTTCCATTACTCCACCTATAAAAGCACCCTAGTAACCAAAATGATGTAATGATAACTGAATAGCCACTCTTTTTCCAGCTAATTGATGCAAATACTATAGGAATATTTGATACTCATTGTACCAGATGAGCCCGTGGCAGACTGGTATGTGTCACAAGAAGAAGAGAAAGATTAAGTCTAATAAGGCTGCAATACCAGGTAACTCACAAACCCTCTCCTTAAGTTTAATTACAAATATACAGATGAAAATATCTCTCACTCCTCATCCGTTATTGCCAAAACCAAAGAAGTATCAGTCTACTTTTTCTCCTTCAGTCACTCCTTAGCTGATGACACAAGTGTAACAGGAATAAACATTTTCTACGATGACAAGATTCACCAAAGTGATGAGAATATTTCTCAAACTCAGTAGCAGCTGAAGAGCAGCGGCTGCTCTCTGTTCCTGCCAGTGCAGGCCAACACCACGTTTATTGAATTATTTGCAAACCATGCGTTTATATGGGTTAATGTTTCTGGGATGTTATTTTTATCTTCAATTATGGCAGAGTCAGATCCAATAACAGACTTTAAGGTGAAACTGGCATCTCACTAAAAGACCACTAAACTCTTTAGAAAGAGACTTTCAAAAGATTCTTAAGTGTCAACAGGAAAAGGTTGTGGAGGAAGGGGATGTCAACAACTTTCCCAATTTCTTGGCTCAGAAATGGTATTTATTACAAGGTAAGAAAGGACTTCTTGCTCACAGTACCAGAGGTTACCACTATTTGGGGGGTGGGGGGTTTGAAATAATTATTCTTGTCCATGTTTCTGAGCAGTGTATGTGTATTTCGTCCTGCTCTTCTAGTGGGTGAGCCCACACAATTAGAGAGATGTGTCCTTGCCCCACAGCACTCAGGCTGAGTGTAACAGGGGATGACAGAAGGAGGTTAGAGGGAAAACAGGATGATGACAGAAGCAAAGGGTTTCAAAATGCCTTTTGTTAAATGGACATTTTGGTGCAGGTCTGAGGAGGGGTTTGTGAAAGAGGTGTAATGTGGGCTGCAGAAAGCCTCTGCATTAAGGGAAGAAAAGGCTGTACCAGTTTTATAATATAGGAAAATATTTAGAAGTCGTAAGAAAAACAACATTTAAAGGCTTCTCAGAGTCTTTTTGCCATGACAGTGTTAAAATACAGATGAGCCTAGTGCATGGCTATTTTAGGGTACCAGTACTTCCTGATAGCAATGTATTACATGTTCCTAGGAAAACCCTGCTGCTTTCAAGCATCAAGCTCTGACGTGTCAGCCGTGATCTCTGTGAACACAAAATCCCCATGGTGTTATTTTTTGTGACAAGCACGCTGTCCCATTTACATTCTAGAGTGAACAAACAAGGAAGAACATTGAAACAGGGGTACTTGGAATCTTCCTCTTGTTTGAGGAGGGATTGGATGAGACATCCCCTCTGGGCCTGCAGTGTCTGCACAGGGGGCTGGTGATGGCAGTGGCACTGCATGGAACAGAAGCACAGAAATACGTGTAGGCAGCAGAAGGCACAAACTTGGGGGCAAAGCCTCATCAGTACATCAGACAGTACTGTCCCCAGAAGGCAACTCTTAAAGGTCCATCAGTCAGATTCACCCCTCCTGATGGAAAATACAGCCTGTCCTTTAGTCCCACGTGTCCTGAGTGGCAGCAGGTATGGCCTGCTCTCTCCAGTGCCCAGGAAATGCTGTCATTATTTCATTTATCAGCCTCTGATACAGCCCCAGGAGAGCTTTGTGCTTCACTCAAAGCAAGGGCGTGACCTTTCCCAGCAGGGCTGCCTCGCTGCAGTTTGAGGATGAGGTGCATATGGGTGTGGCAGTAAGTAGTCCCCAAGCTGTACAACATACCAGACTGACAAAAAGAGGATACAGCTGGAGTATGCTGGAGTTGAAGTGACTTCCTGGGAGAGAACTACAGCTGGGCTCGAGGCCTTCTTAACCAGCCACAGGGACATTATGCTTTAAAAACAAAGTGCTTCACACCAATGCCATTGGAACTGGCTGGTGGGTTCAGTGTCTCTGCAACCCCTATTTAAGGCTGAGCAGGGAGACACTGATGGCAAGGAACTTGCTGCATTATCTAGTTGACTATGTCTGGAACGTGTAACTCAAGGAAAGGAGTCACAAAGGGAAGGCCTTGTCTATTTAGTGTTTTTACTAATTCAATATTAATTTAATATTTTTGATCTTGTTCCTGATTGATGTCTTCAGATGTACAACAGGAATCTCTGTCACTTAAGGACTTGAACTGTCTATGCAGATACCGAAAAAGTCTATGAGTTTGTTAATTATCATAATTTCTATGATAAATTTTTCTAGAAATTGGACAAACAAGCTTCATTCACAGAGAGCACCTAGAGGTACACTCATGCCTCATAAGACCAACCTTTCCAAAGGACTTTCCTCTAAGCAGTACATCCTGGAGTGCCCTGAAGCTCTGTACTTTGCAGCAGGACTGTGGAGATTTCCCATCTTGGCTGTTGCTGACCAGTGCTGCTTTTGAGGACACAGCCCATGCAAGCACAGTCTTGGCTGAACAACCTCAGCACCAGCACCAGATACAGGTTCAGGGCAGGAATTCCTAAGGCTCCTGTCCTCAACACTTCCAACTCAGGGCTAAACAGGATTATGAGAAAATATCTTTGTCAACACAACTGATTTACTTATATAAACCACATAAAGTTGGTTTTGGGTTTTTTTCTGAGAAGAAATGGCAAGAGAAGGAAGTCACAACACAGCAGCTCCTCTTCTGTAGGAATAATAAATGTATTATGTAGAACTGGGGAGGGAAGTGTGTACTCATTTGGAGAAAATTCAGAGGTTGTGGCCTGAATTATCCTTGTAAATAGACCTGGCATGACTGCACAACTAATTGTCTACAAGTGCTGAATCAGACACTGAAGGTTTTTTAAAAGATGACTAACAAAGCAAGTGTATAAAGTGAAAATACACTGCAACCCATAAGAAAAGGCAAATCATCGAAAAAACAGATTAGTTAATGTCTTTAATATAAAATCACTCTTCTTTCCCCCAAAGCAGCAGCACTGTATTACAAGTGTATTACAGTTAAATTAAAGGACCACTTTCATCATTGAGGACATCTTCATTAAAATCTTCCAAATAATTCATAGTCCATTTCTGTACATTTTAGCTTATCAAAATGCACTGAAAAAAATAATATAATTTTCTCTTCAGCAGGTGTCACTACCACCATTTCTCAAAGAAAATACAGTTTCTAGGAACACCAATGTTAGTGAGTAGTTTGGATATAGATTCTATCATTGGAGGGGGACCACAGATGTACCATGAAGTATCATTGGATACGTGTTTCTCTAGATCCTTTTCAGATATTCTTCCCTCTGACAAAGAAAAAAAAGTAGGAAATGAGAACAGAAGTATTAATCATGAAGTCACTTCAAAAATAATGTCTGGTTAGAGGTATTTCAAGCACTCATTTCTTAAAAATGCTTGGCTGTTTCAGGATAATAGGTATTGAGATTTGGGGCTTCTAAAAGCATTTGTTTTTCTGGGGATTTAGATCAGTGCTTCCACTTGGAATGCAGAGGGTATTAGTCACTGAAGAGGAACATGGCTTACAGACAAGTAAAATCCTACATTCACATTAAAAAAAATAGGCATTTCTAGCACAAATACAGCAGAAATGGAAACATGCTGAAGTATCTCTTAAAAGCAGTCAGCTTATCCTTCATCAGTCCCACCTTAAGCAAAGTAAACAGTGTTTGCTTAATAGTTTCTGGAATAAAGTCTGCAGTGTGAAATACCAGTGTAAAGTTTAAGATTAACAGAAAAAAAAATGCGAAGAAAAGCTTTTCTGCAAAGCAAAAGAAGTACAGAGAAATTGTTTAACTCACATCTCATTTTGAATGTTTAAATGTAAAAATGCTGGGTTATTATGCACAACTTCATCCTGTAGGATGTAATCAAATCAGGGGCCTCAGTTAGCATCTCTGTACAATGCCATGACATTTACCTGTAATGTGTGGCTGCAGCTCTTTACAGATCTGTGAGCGCTGCTGGGTGACGTGGAAACAACATGTGATCTTTCCAGGAAACGCCTTCATCAAACCAAGAATATTTCTCTGTAATGTTAAACACACTTGCTTACACAACAGGCCATTAAATCAAAGCAGATGTATGCACACAGTTCCAGAAAGCTAGTGATTATTACTGAGAACCAAGACTTTGCATTTCAGCACTGAGAAACTGATGGGTGTGATTGCACAGGCCTGACCTGCACACACACACAGAATTCCCACACTTGGAATGTGAATACCCTGCCAGCTATGTTAGTGCTCTTCTCCTTTTCTAACATAGATTACAATCTGTAAGATTTGGATCTAAGATCCAGTTAGGTCATTTCCCAATTTTTTCCCCTTATGAATTCTCAGTATTTCCTCCTTCCACTTCCACAGGGGTTTTTCATTTAAAAAACCCCCTGCAGTATGTATTTACCATTAGTTAGGAACTTTTTGAGACTTGTCTGATAAGGTCACTAGACCCTTTACTGTCTCATCTTCTCAAGTAAAACCAACTACCACGTAATACTAATGTTATTTTTACCAGAGTAGAAAGTACAAACTCATTTTCAGTTCCCTAAATCACAGCTGCGATATGTTACCACCAAACCCCCAGCAGCTTCAGTTCAAATCATAGCAAAAAAAGAATGTGTTAGTCAGATGCTGTAGTTAGTTCTGAAATTAGGATTTAGCTACTGTCTAGATTCTGGATTATACGGGATTTTCACTGCTGGAATAGACACTGGAAATGCTTTAAAATACTCTGAAATAAAAATAATTTCTAGGTAAATTTGGTAATTTTGTTAAGTGTTTGCTTGTTGACTAGTTACTACACTCAGTGTGCCCTGGGATGCTTAACAAAACAACCCAGAAAGATTCTACTTTGTAGAAAATCTGTAACTTCATCTCTAAAATTATGTGGGATAAAGAGCAGCACATATTGCCACTGCTGTCCAGTGTTCCACCAGCACCTCTACTATTGACTTGCTGTCTTTGTACCCCTAATGCTGTTGGTTCTATCATTTGCTCTAAGGATATTTCCAGTGTCTCAGCCTGTGACATGAGTGCACATCCACAGTGAGGATCAGACCCCAAGTGGCATCTCCCTTTGCCCTTGTCAGCACATACACAGCTGCTCCTTCAGGGACCACGTCCTCCAAACCATCAGTGATAACCCAGCAGGTCCTCCTGGAGATTGTACACATTCTGTACAGATGTTTCTCACAACAGCATAAAGGCTGCTAGAGATTGTATTTTCTCAATTCTCTGCACAGAAGTGAAGGAGAGATGTATTTTAAGCACTGTGCATGACACTGTGTTCTCTTCTGTTCCAGACGCTTTAGTGCAAAAGTTCTGCTGTCATAAAACTGCTTAAGTGAATGTTGGGAATGTCAGCACCAGCACTGGAAAAACCTGTGCATTCTTAGAACAGACTGGGAGATCAGTAGGTGGCCAAAAGGAAGAGCAGATTATTCTGCTTCTAGCAACAAACAAATGACTTTTCAAAGAAAGCAAATATCTCTGTATCTAGAAACATGGTAGGAGTACAGAAATAAAATTAGTGATGGATCACATCACTAAAACACAGTTTCTGGAATCATGACAGCTCTTCATCTTTACCTTACAATCAAAAGCTTTCAATACTTAAAAAACCCATAAATAATTTTGGATGCTTCTTTACAGAAGCTGTGCTAATTTGACACTAAAATATTGTCAGTAATCCTTAATGGCTGAGTATCGCAACTGATCTTTAACTGCCGAGTAAATGTTGATGAAGTACTGCACAAGCAGTTTTAAGAACAGCTATACACTAGTACTAATTAGTAACTAATGCATTATCAATAGAGCTGTTATTTTAGAAAGTATCTCCTTTGGATATAATTACATTTTTCTAGTCTTTACATTTAATACAATCTCTGGTTAGACTATGTAGTTACAGTATTATAGCACTATGCATGCATGCTATTAGTGTGTATATATACATATATATATATAATCTTTAGTGTACAACAATGCTCTTACAAGATCATAGTAAAATGCAGGGATATAGTAAAATTTAGGGTAACTGACTTATCAAAATCAATGGGAGCAGGTATGTCCAGTAACAGCCTTAATTTGTACACTGGCATAAGCAGTTAACAAAACACATGGGATTTGAGGCAGGAAGTGACTTTTTTCTCTGTTTTTACAGTGTCTCACACAGAAGGACTCTCTGGAATTTGGTAACATTGATATACACACTAGTAGCTGAATAGCTGAGATCTGTATTTTTTAAAAACTTCTGATTTACCTTAAATAAGAGTTCGTTTGTATTTTTTGCACTGTAGTACAGCTTCGCTGTTCCCAATTTGTGTCTATTTCCTTTACCCTCTTGGTATCCATGAAGATCTGCTATATGCAGCAGTATAGAAAACAATGGGTTAATTCCAACACCCCCTGCTATCAGCACTAGGTTTACTGGGGAGTCACCAGGCTGAGGATCAAAGAAGAAATCACCTCCCACTCGCAGAGCCACTTCTGAGTCAAGAGTACACTAGGATGGAAAAGAAGATATTTAATTTCAGAACTAAATGCAAAAGTTGAAATCTCATTCTTTTTGCATCCCAGTCACAAGGTTTGCCCGGCTGTGATTTTTATTTTAATTGATCAGTGAAGGAAAAACAGAAGGACTTTAAAATATACACACATTTTCCAGCTATCTGAAGTAACCCAGTGCCTCTAGGGATCTGGTTCTACTTTCAAAAGTTTCAGTCTTATGGTAAGGCAGGAAGGTGACTCCCCCTTCTTATCCCCATAAGAGTTGAAAGAGGAACAATTCACATAGAGTTTTCCAACAGCAATATGTGGTTTTGAAAACCCAAGCTCAACATGTGAAATCACACTTCTACCCAAAACCAGCTTCATGCCAAAAAAGGCCTTCCTATAAGGTCACAGGAGGTCAGAATAAGCTGCACACACAGAAGGTTTTTCCATCCCCATTCCTTAAAATTAAAAACCACACAGAAGTGAAGTAAGTATCCACAAGAATATTTCTTGCAGAATCACTTCTGCATTTGCAACTTCAGAGACACAGAAGAAGAAAAATCAGGGGAAAATCTTCTCTCTTACTCTCCACTTGCATGTAAGAAATTATTTCCTAAAGAAATGTGTCCAAGCATGGTTTTGATACACGGAAAACAAAAGCTACAACAAAAAAAATCCACTTGGGTAAGTCTCTCCTTGGTAAACCAGCACTGCATCCTGGTCTGAAGGGTGAAGCTGCAGTAAAGAGAAGTCAGGTGAGTTCTTCCACATCACTGCAAGCTGACAGAACAAATAAGAGCACTTAGACCATATATAGGTTTTAAAAGATAAAATGAAGAGGGATAGGGAAATGAAGGAAGGTGGGAATGGAGGAGAGAAAAACAAGCTATAAGCTGCTGAAAAATTCTTTTAGAGAATCAAAACACTTCCTTCAAAGAATTCTTTTCATAGCAAGAAACAGTAAATTGAAACAAAGGGAGTTCCATTAATGAAGGCTGCACAAACAGCTAAGGTCTAAGCATGTAACAATTCCACCAGGAGCAAGAAGAATGTCCTTGGATGCAGGTAATGCAGAGAACACATGGGTTCCTAAGATGGTAAGCATGATCATTACAAACACCCAACAATTTTCTTGCTTTTCTTAATTACTGCAGAACTATACTCAAGTATACTGTAGAACAATGAGCATTCATTATCTGAAACTGATTTCTCTCTTCCTTGTGATGTACACTGCCAGGCTTTCCCCACCATGTTTTACTCTGGTCTAGAGAAGCACGAATCCACATTCATTCATTCATTCATTCATTCATTCATGAGGCCTAAGGAGGACACAGAATATGGTACCCTTTGAGGAAATAAGCATTTTTAAGGAAAAACAATCTCACACCTGCCCCCTTAACCAGCATAGTTCCTCAAGATTGGACATGAGATTTCAGAAGAATCTCTCTTAACTTGCAGTCTTCCAGATATTTCCATGCTTTGGCCATGACAATGATAACATAAGTCAGTATACAAGAAAAAATAGTAAAATTCTGGAGTAATACCATGAGAAAGTGTCGTCCTTTAGCCTAGTTTATAAACACAGCTCAGAGAAGTGAAACTAATCAATACATTACATAGATATTTTTAAAAGAAAAGGCTACATCTTCCTGAAGTTATATAAAGTACATGGTGCTAAAATTTACTACTTTATATACAGTAATATTAAGAAATAAATACCTTTAAAAAAACACAGATACAGTGAGTTGAGTAAATGAGTGGTAACCCCATTTTTAACCTGAGATATCAGCTTCCTTTAGGAGTAACTTTTAAATAATTAAGCACCAGTTTTGTCACCATATATACAGCATTTTCAAATTCTAGGTTGCTGTTTTTCCTGTTTGTTTCCTAATGAAAAGCATGCACTTTTGTTTAGCTAGAAGAGTCCATGTATACTCCAGAGGTTTCTCCACAGCATCGGGGTTGATGTAGCTTACCCCTTAACTACAGATTTAGCCTATAAATTCCACCAGAAAACTCAGCAACAAAAACTGATTTACAACATAAAAAATTCTTAAATAGTTTCCAGAGCCTGTGAAAAGAACAAAAGTTGATAGGACAGACTATTGATGAAACATGTGTTATGACTTTTATTACAAAAATATTGCATATTTAAAAGAACACTGTAGATATTCTGAAATGTTTTATCATTTCAGAAAAACTGATCTAAGTACCTTCCTTGGCTCCCCTTTAATAATCTATTTCTGTCTATGATTTCTCAATGATTCCCCGTTTATATTTACAGAAATAGTCAGGAATTATGGAAGGTTATCAGAGGTAACTTTGTAATGTGTAAAACTGCCTGTTCTCAAGGATGTAAGTTAGAGGTTTTTCAAAATTTTTAAATTCATTAATTCCAAAGGAGTGAGAACCCTTATATACACCAACTCCAATATCACTTTAAGTCCACCATAAGCACAAGTGGTGTCCAAAGATCACAATAACCATATTTTGACATAAACATCCAATTTCAGCCCCTTACTGAAAAAAAGGGTTTAAGATTTTTATTGTATTCAAAGTGCTTGAAGAAGTCAACGTGAGTTTTGCAATTAATAGCACAAAATGGTCTAAAAACACATACCACCCCCTTTACCTCAAAAAAACCCAACAAACAACAAATCAAAAGCAAGCCAAATCTCACAGTTAATTTCATTTACCTCAGTGTGAATCCAGTGAGCAGGAGGATGAACAGTGTGCTTTACTGCCAGTTCTAGTATTCCTTCTCGTTCTAACAGGCCAGGGCTTGAACATATTGAGAATCCCCCAACTACAGATACTCCAGGAATAAAAAAATCCACCCTAAAAATACATCAGACACAAAAGTTTAAAAAAGAAGCCAACAACCCCAAGCCTGGACAACAATAGCCAAAATAATGTGGCTGCCTTTGTTTCAATTATCTCTCCTTTACAGCATCTTCATTTCTGTAATGTAACTTTTCTGAAAAGGGAGTTAACCTTGAGTAACACCATTTCCTTAGAGTTATTTTCTTCTAGAACCATGTCATCATGTTTGCTGAACTAGAAGGTTTTCAAACCATTCTGCTTTTAGCATTAGATGTCACATCTCACAACAGACTAGAATTTTAATTGTTTTAAATAAATAATTTGCATATTAGAACAAAAACGTAATTATGGTCTGCTAGAGTAGCTTAATTCCCACTCCTTTTGGTCCCTTTGATGGGCTCTTCAATTTTCAAACATAAGAAGATTGGCATTCTAATTTTAGGGAAATGACTTTATATTAAACACTTTTTTTTTCTGAGTAGATTAAATATCTGAAGTAAAACCAACAGTATGTGAAAGATTTCCCATATAAGAAGTCCACAACTGGCAGCAGAACTGCAGCTCCCTCTGGTGGCAGATATCACTGCTTAGGTAAACTGGAATAAATTCATACTTTTTTGTTTCTTTCAGCTTAAAAGTAAATCATGCATGACTTTGTACAGATAAGAAGGTAACATGTGGCTAAGCTTCTGCAATACCAGCCATTAGAGACTATGGAAGGCAAGCCTTTACTATATATGAACTATATTTCAGTCTCATGAAAGTAAGGCTTTGATAAGCCTTGATGAGGCTTCCAAGTAATTATCAGAAAAAAATTACAAGTTGGTTTGTGATCTGTCGCCTGAACTCCTCTGTGTTTCTTAAATCTGCAAATGCTTCTGCTTTCTACAGCACATAACAAAATCCCTGTATTTCAAAATAAACCAAATGTTTATAAGTAGTTGTGCTGCTCTCCTTAGGAAACAATCACACTGATAAACAATGCCAAGTACTAGAAAACCATTATTCAAGCCTGGGTTAGGCTGGCTCAGTATTAGTTAAGTGAGGATGCAGTAAGAAATACAGACTGGCTTCTACTGCACAGGTATTTTCTTTAGACAGCAAGGCTGCATTCTTCACAGAGACCACAAATGCTTGAGGAAAGAGAGAAGCACTTTGAGTAGTTCACCACTTTTTGAAGAAAAAAAATCTTGTCTTCTTACTCCATACAAAATTCACCCTTTGAAGAAAAAGCTCCTTCTCTAAAAGAATGTATATACAGTGTGATATATACAATAGTGATAAACTTGTAATATCTTGATGGTGCATAAAGATACCTGACTGCAAAAGAACAGTCTACAACCAAAAAAAAGGAGAAGGCTTATTTCAGTGTCCTCAGCTTGTGCAGCCCCACCACCCGCGGGGCCCAGCTTTACTGACAGTCAGGCTCTGGGAGCTGAGAAAGGTCGACTCTTGAATTCAGGGTTTATCCTGCCAAAGAACCTCTCATAATACTACTGAAGCTCTTTACCACCCTCTGGTGGAAAATTATCTTACTACTTAAAATGAACTTAGGTTAACGAAAAATAAGAGAATTTATGCTGTAAAGTCAAAATTTACATTCAAGTCAAAATGTTCTCCTTGGCATGTAAAGGGAAACCTTATCTATGCCTGGTTGGGAAATGCAGAAACATTATTACAAAACCTGCATCAAAGATGGTTTTTACCTTTCCCAAATACTAATGCAGATGTATTTTTCTTTCCCAAGTACATAACTGTGAGAGATTTCAAGGCACAGTTTACTATCTTACAGTGCACTAGCTCTGATGGCTTGTCTCAGCCACGTTAGGAAGGGTGAGAGAGCTTCTGAAGAAATGCTGTCTGTGACAGCATAAGGGAAAAGAGAAGTAGAAGGGAAAAAATAGAAGAAAACCCACAACAAGGAGAGGCACAAAAAGGTGTAAACTAGAGATCTCAGGGTGTTTTTTCACTTTCCTCCTTTTAAAACCCACCTAAACCATATCCTTAATAAACGAGTAATAATCATTGCTGGAATAACAGATCAGAAACACTAAAACCATAAGGCTATTTCTTCAAGGTATTTGTAACATGCATATACCTCAATGCATGTAAATCAAAAGGTGTAACAGCAACAAGTCTCTTCATTATTATTTGAAGTCAGATAAAGACCAGTATCTGCCAAAGTGCTTGCAAAACAAGTTCATTTTTGCTTCTGAAAAGCTCAATAATTAGAACACTTTCAGGAAATATTTTAGTGACAATCTTTGGCTGTAGCATCTTACAATAACAAATCCTAACAAGTTAGCTTTTTCTGCTCAGGAAAATGTGTTGTTTCATACTGCTCATTAAAAAAATGCAACCCCAGTTTATAGATACAAGTACAGAGAAGTTGGTACCTTACAATAGCATTAGAACACTTTCAAGGAAGAAGAAAATGAAGAAGAGTAATTATAATTAAAGCTTTCAGTTTTCAGCATGATAATCTCAAAAACGTTTTTGGAGGGTAAATACTTTGCAAGTACTGGCAAGCAAGAATTTAATGAGTCACTGCACATGTGCAAAAAATGCAGCAAATTACTTCACAAACAAATTATTGCTAATCAGCATCTTGTGTTCTGGTTCTAAATTTAAAAGCCAGCATATTAACACTCCATGAGTAACATATGCTGTTAATACCCTAGCAGCTATACTTTGATTTCAGCAAATCCACTTTCAGATGGCCAAAGCCAATAAAAAGTTTAAGAACATTTAAATGTCCATTGCCAAAAGCAACTGCTCCTAGTTTTAAATTAATTTCTAAGAGAAAAAAAAAAGTTACTGAGTGAGAGTATGTTTAACAAGGAAGGATGACAAACTTGAAAATCCACTACTTCCTTGGGAAAATAAAACCCTGTAAAATTGTTTAAACAAATGGCTAATTGTTTCAAAGGCTTAATAATTCAAGGTTTTTATTTTCAAATTTGCCTATTTATATTAATTTATTAATCTGACCTAATGGGCTTAATTTCCAGAGTGGAAGCTTCAAAGGGAAGAAATAAACCAAAACTAAGTAACTTGCAAATCAGCAGTCTCAGCTCCACTGTAAAAACAGCTAGTAAATAAAAACAGCCTGCAAAATAAAGAGCAGTGAACTTCAAAGTACTCCTGAAAAAACAATGTAATATAATAAACCACAGGAAAACACCAAAACAGTATAACTGACCATTTAAAGAATATCTACTTCTGCCCTTTTAATAGTAATATTAGCATTTTTTATAATGACTGTTTAAAAATTATGCCAAATACCAGCTCTTTGACAGAGCATCCAGTAAGAAAACATTGTATTATATAAATTAACAACTTTTTCCACACCCCAAGGATCAGAGACCTTTCAGCACTTTGTTATAGTGGACTTCTAGTAATTTCCCCCTCAAATATACCAGAAGATCTTACCATTGTCCTGCTTTGAAAGTAAAATCCTTATTTGCAATTGCCAAACGAAGCCTTTTGACCGTCTCTGATTCATTGGTGATTCCACACACTTTTGCTTGTGTAATTACCTAACAAAAGAAAAAGAAGCCATTGTGATATGTAGATATAATTTGCAGCAAAAGCACTCAAGAAGCCTTGCATGAGACATCCATCACTTCCCATGTTACCCATGGCATTTCATTACCTACAGCAGCAATATTTTTCACTGAAACAAGAATGGATTCTATCCCTGGAAGAGTTTAAGGCTAGGCTGGATGGGGCCCTAAGCAATCTGGTTTAGTGAAAGGAGTCCCTGCCCATGGCAGGGTGCTGGAAGTGCATGATCTTTAAGGTCCCTTCAAGCCCAAACCATTCTGTGATTCACTTAAATAGTCACTGAATGGAGAACAGTGTTTGTACTTGCAGTCTACCATGTCTGTCACTTTTTCTAAGATTATATACAAACTTTATATCAGTTGAAGAGAACATAACAATAGAGGTGATTGTTAGTTATCACTTATCAGATTCTTCAGACATCTATACAAGACACACACTCCTGCATCCTCCAGCAACAAAATAAAAAGATCTCTGATATAAAGACTAAGGACACTTGTGAAAAACCGTTGCAGATGAAGTCCCAGGAAGAATTCTGGATCTAGATTGATTTAAGTAACTAAATGCATTACTGAAAGATTATGCATTAATATTAATGCATCAATGAAAGAAAACCAACAAGCCTTGTGTTACTGCATTTACCCCCTACACCCCCATATAACCACAGGGAAACCAAGACACGAGGTCTCTGGCTGGGTAACAGTGCAGAATTTGTTTGGCAGCCACATGGGAGGAGACATCAGAGCCATAGCTGATACTACTTTTAAGGAATTAAAAAAAGAGGATTAAAATTGAAAAGCAGACTTTGCAAGAAGACCCATTGGGGATGAGCACCCCACTTAAATTCTTTGATGTCCATCAGTGCAACATGGATTTTCATCCCCTCTCTACCCTTCCTTTTCAGTTTTTTTTTTTACTATAATTATTAACCTTTTTCCTCTCCAAAGAAAGCAATGCCCTAAGTATCTTCTACACAGAGCAATGCACAGATATTACTGTTAAAAATGCTGATGTCATTTTCCACACAAGGCAATACTCAAAATACTACCACAACTCTACCATTTCTCATTTGTCTAAGATCAAACAGATAAAAAAAAAAAATTAACTTTAAGCAACTATGCTGTAATTTAAAACATATGTCAGGAAATGAATTTATTCATAAAGCAACATGTGAACACGTCCCCTGTCCCATTAAACAGCAGGACACTTGCTAATTTAAAATGAAGTAGCATGGATTCCTGTTCCACTTCAGCAGAGAGTATTAAATGAGGAATGCAGTCCAAGTTACCAGGAGAAATGTCAGATATACGACTTCAATGGTTGTTTTGATGGAGAAGTGCAGGAAAAAGACATTAAATTTGGATCTTCTTCATTCCCTTCTTTACTCTTCAGTACACTCTTTAATTTGTTATTTGGCTGAGAGAGCTGCAAGAGTACTGGAAATTTAATTCTTAATTGGTATAAAGTTATTTCAAAAATTAAACTTGAGGCAGGGTGATCAAAGACATTCAGCCAGTATTTTGGACCATCACAAGGGGATCCAGCTGGCCAGAGCAAGGCTGCAGTGAGAGGGAGGAGGGCACAGGATTCTGGATTTTGCAGCTGTATTTCAAGAAAGCATTAGTCACTTTTCCTTGCCCTGGTCCTTTACATTATCACTCTTCAACAGGCAATGTTCTATGGCATTCACACTAATGCAACACAGATTTATGATTTTTTCATCTTTTACAGGACTGAAATGGCCAAATAAGGCAAAATTGGCTGAGGGAAGCCAACTGGTGATTACATGGAATTTAAAACCAAACAGAGGATTTAAAATAAACTGATTTTAAAGTGGTCAGAAATAAAGCAACAAAGAATAAATCAAGCATTAAAAAGAGAAACAGCATAATCCTCTGCTATGCAGAGAATGTGTGGTAGCAAGAACTGAGCCCTGCTCTTTCACCTATCTCATACAGCTATATGAAGCTTCCTTCTCGTCCTCATGCCTTACAGTTCCCTGCACCAACCCTGAGCTTCCAACACCTCATAAGGATCCATTTTCCATGTATTTTTCTGGTACTGACATTGAGCAGAGAAAGGAAGCAAGCCAAGCAATAAATATTAAAATACCCCCATGGCTGCAACAGTCAAAAGTGCCATCATTTTTTTTGGTGTCAGAAGTAAATGAGAACATGCATCGGTTTGTGCCTATCTCTACATCCATTTTCTCGGGTAAACAGGATCCACCAGAGCAGCTGGATGTTCACAAGCATCACTGATCTGTACTCGGGGAAGAGCTGGCACTAGGTGTGAACAGCTGAGGCACAGCTCTGTGGATCCACAGCTCTGTGGTTTGCTGTGGTTTTTCTCTGTTGACACGCGGAACCAGGCTGCATCATCCATCTACAGCCCATGTCACACACTGCTGAATCTTCTCTTTCAGTGGTTACCTACATATCCCCTGCACCCAGCTTCCTTTTGGGAAGAATGGGACTTATTCTCCACTGTAGTTAGGGAAAAACTTAGCAGAGAAGGACTTTATGTACACCCACTGACAGATGTGTGGTGTGATTGCATCTGTGTGCATCTACTTCAGCTTATTACAGAAAGGAAATACCTGTATGAAATACAAGAGTATTTTCCCCCCTGAATGTTATGAAAAAGAATGCTTGCTCCTCAAAACTGAGATCCAGAATAAGCATTTCTGGATTTGATGGGGAACAATGCTCTATCTTCCTTGCTTTTGTCAATTAAAATAGATAAAACTAAAGATCTTTTTTACAGTTGTCTATCATCTCTCACTTTAAAATGTCTACACTTTTTGCCTTATTACCTGTGTTATAAAGGGACATATTCCACATTTTTTAATCTCAGATCTGAACTAGAATTGTAGAAATCCATAAAAATCTGAGAAGTCTGTGTAGAGATGATGGGTATTCACATGCTTTTCATTACTTATTATAATCCATACTTGGCTAGAAATCTATTTTTTCTCGTACAACATAAAGTAAACAGCATCACATCACTGAAAATTTTTAAAACTCATTACATTTCACCCACTGAGCACTAAATGTGCTAATTTTATACCAGTAACAAATATAAAAAAATAAGGAGAAAAAGAAGTAAACCAGACTCCAGCAGAAGGCAAAATGGAGCCTAAGAATTGAATACTATAGTCCAATATAATTATCTTTGCAGCAAAAAAAAAAAATTACTTGCATCCTAAAGAACAGAACACTAACCTCCTGTCGAAAATTATGTGCTGTCCTCTCTAGATGATCCATTTTCCTTTTTGATTTTATTGTGCTGCAAGAAAAAGCAAACAAAGATAACTGTCATTTTGACAGCTGTGCTACTGTCCCTTACTGATAGGAATTTCTATTAACATAACAATTTACCAGTGTAATCCAGACTACAGATGACATAAATCTAAATAAGAATTAAATATAAATATATAATTGGGAGTTAAATTAAGCATTTATAGGTCTGTAGTAATTTGTCAGTTTGACAGTGTTACCATGGCATTCTCTTAAGTAAAACAAGGAAGTGGATAACCTACCTGTTCCCCGTGCAGTAACAGAAAGCAGAGTGCCTCAACACCCCCAATGGAGAATGAGAGGGAAAAATTCTGCTCTGAGCACCCCTCAGTAACTGAGGAACAGTGCAACCCACATAAATAGTAGCATGAGCCATCATGACCAGGCAGTCTTCAGAATCAGTGGTTCCTGAAAAAAAATCGTAAATATTTGTAAAATTAAGCATTCAGTGTTTGACATGGCTTGTTTTCAGCTTTTATTTCCCTTAAATCAGCAAAGCCAAAGCTCAGCTGGAGTTAAAGCTAGCAGCAGACATAAAGTATAATGAGAGGGAGTTTTGAAAACATGAAAGTTTCATAAACAAGTGAAAATGTGCATCCATCAAGTGAATGGATGTTATACCCATTCCTAAAGGTGAGGATAACTGAGGTGCTTGTTAATAGATTCCTTGGGGCAGATTAGAGTGAAATGACACTGAATGACCAGTGTTAATATACATACACACACACACATACATATAATGCAGGTTTGTTTTAAAACAATTTGGTTGCAACATAAAGGAGATACAGAGCTCCTTTGGTTATTATCGATAGAAATGAAACAATATAAATGTATAAAAGAATAATTTTAGGAAATATATAAGGAAAAGAAAGGAAGAGAAAGAAAGGATAAAAGATAGTGGAGAAGAAAGATACCATCACCCGTGGATCCAGTGACAAGAACTGATTGCTGCAATTTCACTTAGTCAACATGATGGTTGGAGATTTGATCCATCAGAGGTGGGGAAATCCCATGAAACATAGATTTCAATGGGTTCAATACGTTCAGGTTCAGGTGGGAACACCCAGGCACTTCCCCCTGCGGGGGGGTTTTACATTTACACTGTCTGTCCCAACACTGGGGATCATGTGCAGTGTCTGGTGGGACACCCCAGAAATGAGTCTGGGGGCACTCTGGGGTCTTTGATGGTTATGACACCCTCTAAGCCACGGCAGCTGCCTCGTGCCCATGTAACTGAGCCAGTTCTGCCCCACAGGAGGGGATGAGCACCTTCAGGCCCAGGTGTGAACACGAGGGTCCTGATACCTTCCCTGGGAGGGGAGATTTACAGCTGGCCCAGCTGTGTAAGGGAGGGCACTGGCATGATAAAAAGCATTCTCCCACCTCAGCAGCACCTGCTTCTTACAGTTTGTTGCTGAACAAAGGTCACTTTGTTGTGGTCATCCTCTGGCCGAGGGTGCTCACCCTCCCCGCCCCTGGGCTGCTTTCATGCAGATCAGAGAATTCCCATCACACACCCAAACCTCTCCTCCTGCCCTTCAGTCCAGGGGTGCAAACCTGGCCTCAGCAAAGCCCCTGCAGCTTCTCCAAATGGGCGATTGCTTGAGCCATTAACCATCAATGTTTCAGTCTCTCACAAGGGTAAGACCTTGCCAGAGATGATATGGAAACGGCTGAAGTACTCAACGTTCCTTTTGCCTCAGTCTTTACAGGCAAAGCCTGAACCCAGACCTCTGCTTGTATCAGTGATGGTTGGGAGGAGAGGGATAAGTAGGAGCAGGGCCAGCACCTGCTTAGAGATGCTGGATGTATTCAAATGCACAGAGCCAGATGGGTTACACTCAAGGTTGCTAAGAGACACAGCTGACATGCTTGTCAGGCAACTGTCTATTACCCATGAGAAACACTTATCACAGAGTCTCCAGCTGACTGGGGAAAAACTTACTCGTGCTCATTTTTAAGAGAGGTAAAAAGCAGTGTTTACATCCAGTCAGCACCATCTCAGTATCTGGGAAAATGCTCAGAGCTTGTCCCCCTAGCTGGGTGAAAGCCAAGAAAGCAGTCAGGAAGATGTGGCTCCGATTTACCAAGGGCAGATTACATTTGATAAATCTGAACAGCTACCGTGATGGAAGGTCTGGTCACACAGCTAAGGGGACAGGATGCAACAACACCTTGAGTGTCCTATGGCTCCTGGCACCAGCCCCTGAAGCACACTCACATTAGCAAGCCAAGGCCAGATGGATGGTTGGAAAACTTGTCTGGGCAGACAGAATTGAAGACTTGATGGCTTCAGGTCGCTTCCCTTGTTGCGTCACTCTAGTGACAGTAAGAGTACCCTGTGGTTGCTATTGGGGCTGACACAGATCAATAAATTTATCAATAACTTGGATGAGACAGAAGGTGTCCCAGTTCGTGGCATAGTGGTTGGAACTGGATGATCTCTGAGGTCCTCTCTGGGCCATTCTATGATCAGCAAACTTGTGGACAACACTATGTTAGAATAGCAGAGCTCCCCTTGAAAGGGCAACTGAGAAGCTGCAGGGCTGGAAAGCAGAAACCTCATTGCACCTGGGATTGGTTTAATCCAGTGTAAACAACTGTCCTGCTCCAAAAAAGAATTCTGACTGAGTGATGCTCAGAAGTGCCTTCCAGCCAACATATCTGTGATTTTAAACGTTCAAACAACATTAATGTATGAAATATCAAACACTGACTATGCGTTCTCTTTCTAGTGGTAAAGAAAAGGTGGAGAATTTTATAAACTTTAATTAAGCCTGTTTGTTCACAGTTTATTTAAAAACACATTAATCCCTCACACTTCCACGTACCCTACATAGTACATCTCTAAAGAGCAAAGAAAGTGGGACACTCATATGCACTGCAGTGGAAACATGGTGTGAAGCTTCAAAACCACACACTCAACTATGGCAGAGAAAGATAAACTGACATGCACAACATTCAAGGTTAGTCAGAACTACACTTCAAGTGCAGGAACATGTTCATAGAGAGCCAAGAGATATTTCTCATTCCTTGTAAATCTGCCTTTGTTTTTCCTAAAATAGATTGGCATAACTCTCTCTCACATATCACCTATCAAATAATATTTATTCCCATGATGCAGTCCATTGCTTCTTTAGAGATTACTATTTTACTTTCATTTAAATATCTTTCCGTGCATTCTTTTAAGGCACATAATTTATTTTCAAAATCTTTCATTTTCAATCCCTTGAAATAGCACTGATTTAGCTTGTTGGTAACTAATCAGGCCTGTACTCTCTGGGATTTCACTAACAGCTGCATTGGCTGGTCACTTAGTAATCTGTCCTGTTTGTAGTCTTGTATGAGTGAAGGCAGAGTTTCCATAAATTTTAGGCTGCTCAGAAATGGAATACATTTACAGTAACTACTCAAAATGCTCATTTTCAAGCATAAGAAATGCTTCCTTCAGCTTTTAACTGTCCATAATTTTTAACAGTTTTTCAGTATTTAATTCCACAGCAGCTTGCAACTTTTAAACCTGAATTAAGTCTTCTACCCCCAGTGAGCAAATTTTTTTCCATAGCATCATAGAGTACTTAAAGTGTACTTTAGTGTTTAAACAGAACACTTCAGTACTTTCTACATCAAATGTGTAGATGCTATTGCTAACAAAATATTAACCATCTCAAAATATTTTAGGACAACAAAATACGTATCTAATGAAGTCCTGTTCTTCTACCTTGGCATATTATCTATAAACCCTGAAAGCTCAAAAATCAGTTTCTCAAATTCGTGAGATCACCTTATGATCTGGAATCTTTCAGATAGCACATCATGGTTATACACATCTACATCTCAAACCAACCTGAAGTTCAATATAAATACATAATATTGGAAAAAAAAGAAATGTCAGCCTAATTTTATAGTCACAGTTGAAAGATCCTAATGATACAACTACTTTAAGGCTGAGTCTCTATCCTAAATTAGAAATAACTCTTGAACAGTAATTCAAGAAACTTGCTCCATTTATACTATCATCACTTTCCAATCATGAAAAACACAAAATAATTTGCAATTTTTACTCTGCAACCAATAAATTGCAAAGTATTTTTTAATGAGTCCTGGTTCTCCTCTAACACATACAAGTGTGCCTCATGCCTTTACAAAACATGAACAGCTTTTCCCCCATCTGTCACCTCTGTGGTTTTTGCATTCATCCAGCTCTTTGGCAATCCCGTGCCCTCCATGAAGCACTGTGCTTCCCAGGCTCCTGTCAGGTGGCATGTTCTCCCTTTATTACCCAAGCCGGTACAGGAATAGCCACTCCAAATACCCTCTTTTTTCACAGAGGTTGGAAGCGACCACAGTGGTCCCATATGGTCCAACATCCCTGCTCAAGCAGAGCCAGTTGAGAGCACATGGCACAAGACTGCATCCAGATGGTTCTGGAATATCTCCAGTGAGAGAGACTCCAGTACCTCTGGGCAATCTGTTCCAGTGCCTGGCTGCTCACACAGTAAAGCTCTTCCTCGTATTCAACTGGAGCTTCCTGTACATCAGTTTCTGTTGAATGCCTCTTGTCCTAGTGGTTGGCACCCCCAAGAAGAGCCTGGCTCCATCGTCTTTACACCCTATCTTTACATATTTATTTATTTATTTTTATAAACTTCCTCTGCTCCATGGAGCGAAACGAGCGCTACTTCTCATAACTTCTTCCTCTCCTCACTTAAAACCAACGAGCCATTCATTCTCCACCCCCTCTGATCCACTGGCCCTGGGTTAGTATCTCTTGAGGTATGTCTGCATCTCTTCTTTCCCCCAATCCCACATCACCATCTGAAGGGAGAACTACTTTTACTTCAGCCGCATCACACTTAAGTGCAAATTACTACGTAGGTTACTGCAAGACAGTGCAGAAGGGAGCAGCAGGGGTACTTAAGGAAGCAGCACAGGAAATCTTTTTTCAAAAGCTATCTCTCGGTAAAACACTCCTTTAGACAAACAGTCGTCCCTGCAAAAGTCACCAGGGAAGTTTTCCCCCTTTTCCCAGGACTGAAGGAACGCGGTGAGCGCTGGGAGGAGGGGGTGGGGGGACGACAGGCTGTGCCCAGGTGGGGCGGGGCGGCATTGAGGGGCCAAGGGGCAGGGCAGGGACAAGGGCAAGGGACAAGGGTAAGGGACAAGGGCAAGGGACAAGGGCAAGGTCGCGGCGGTGCCCGGCCGTTCCCCCGCAGCCCCTGGAATCGCCGGGCAGGAGGCCAGGGGCCGCAGAAGGCGGCTCGGCCACCGCTTCCGACCGGCGTGCGGGGCTCCCGCCGTGAGGAAAGGGCGAGCCAGGAGACCCGAACGCACTGACCCTCAGCCCGCCGCCCCTCACCCTCCTGTCCCCCTCCTGTCCCCCTCCAGTCCCTCCTCCCCACCCGGGCCTCCCGGGCTCCCCCGGCCCGCTGCCCCCCCGCCTACCCGCCGCCGCATCACGTCACGGGGAGCGCCGCCCGCGTGCCCCCTCAGGCACCGCCTCTTCCTGTCCGCCCCGTCCCGGCTCCCGCCGCTTCCCGGCGGCATGGCCGTGTTCCACGACGAGGTGGAGATCGAGGACTTCGAGTACGACGAGGAGACCGGGACCTACAGCTACCCGTGCCCCTGCGGGGACCGATTCCTCATCACGCGGGTGAGGGGCGGCCGGGCGGGGCTGGGGCGGAGAACGGGGCGGTGCGGCCCGTGGGCCGGGCAGGCGGCGGGGCCCTGACCGCTCTCCCGGCGCTTTTGCAGGAGGACCTGGAGAACGGGGAGGACGTGGCCACCTGCCCCAGCTGCTCCCTGATCCTGCGCGTCATTTACGACCAGGTGTGTGCGGAGGGAGGGCCAGCCGGGCGGTTCTAGCCGGGTCCCTCCGAGTCGCGATTCGCCACCCCATGCGGGAAGCGCGGGGCAGCGTTTAAAAATCCGTGGTTTGGGACTACATCTGCTGCCTGAGGTCTCATTTTCTGGTCTTCTCCTACCGTATTTAGGCTTGAAAAGACGCCTCTATCTGGGTGGGGTAGTTCACAGGCGGGACGAAATCAGTGATGTGAATGAAAAGCTCCTGTGGCTGACTCTGGCAGCTTTTCTCACCCCGGAGGCACGAGGTTATGGCTTTCGTGTTTTGGGACATCGATTCATAACCACTCTGTTTTCCAGCCTGGGTGTATCTCGTAGCGTTTGTGAGGTAGAGGAGATCCAAAACCAGTGTAAATCGCCTAAATCCCTGCTTGCTGTCTTTAGGAGCAGTTCATGCGGGATGAAGTCGTGGCAGAACCTTTGCCAAACAAGGAATTGGTCAAGTGCTGATGAATGCATCGTGGACTGTGCTGCTTTGGGATGAGAAAGTATGGGGATGGTGACTGTGGGAAGAGTTGTGGTTCTCCTTCTGGAAGTGCTTGCTGCTGTGGGATACAAATGCAATAACTGTCTGTCTTCTTAACGTGATTGAGAGTTTGCTGAGATATTAAACACATTAATGTATTTTGTTCTGAAGGGTTATACTTAAAAAAAAAAAAATATATATATATAAATTGCTCAATGTATTCCAGAAGACTTGAGGATTATGATCCTGATTTGCAGTAAGTTAATACACAGAAGAAGAGTAGGGAGTTGGGAAATCATAACATTTAGTCTAGCAGTGGCTTCTTAGCCTATGGAGAAAAACAGGCTTTGTGTGGATATACATGCGAGTGTAAAATGGCACAGAGAGCTGAAATGCTCAGAGGCAAGAATAGGACACAATGCTATACAGAGTTGACACAGTGCAGCTTCTCCCAGAATGTGGGCTTGTGTACTTCCAGCCTGTACTGAATATGGGAGAAAACGAGACCCAGACCAACGTTTACCCAGTGTTGGTAAATTGTCTTTACACCTGTAAGCACAGGGAAGGTGCAGATCCTTGTATCTGCACTGGGGGCAACACTTGAGCTGGGGCAGATTTGTTTCTTAAATTGCTTCTAAAGTTGCTTTGAAAGAACTTTGGTAGTTGTTACCAAATGACTCTGACATAATAATGATATACTTTTGAAGGTGTTTCGTGGAGTCAGCTTTATTTAACCCCTGCACAGCTACTAACGTGCAGACAGACTGGAACTCGAAGTGGGTTGTATTTTACCCCTATATTCTCAACAACTTTGTGATTTGACTGTCGCAGTAGATATAAAACGGGCTGCAGTTCTTGTGCCATTTGTAATAAATTCCCCAGCCTTTCTTTATTAGATTCTGTCACTTCATAGATAGGAGATGGACACATTTCACTTAACAAATAAAGACATTCTTTAAGGTAGAAAAGAGTTATGAGAACATACTCCACATTGATTCCAGGACTGCTTCTTGAATTACAAGCCACTGCACTTGAATATTTACTTAAAATGATGGTCATTCCTGTGTTTTAATAGGATTTGGCATCTGTGAAGGTAAATCTGGGGAAAAGTACCTGTGAAGAGTTTATTTAGCTATTTTGCTCCAGGCACTAATGATAAACAAGTTTTACTTGATTCTTGCATTTAGTTATTTTTGTTCTTAGAGCGTTCTGTGAATGTTGAAGATGAACGTTCTAGTTATTTTAAGAAAAGGAGATAAAAAACCCTACATCTGGTTGGGAGTTTTGAATGCAATAAGCACAACCCGGAGTGTTTCCATGCCTAAACCAGGAGGTGGCACTCGTGTTCCTTTGACATATGTGCTTTTAAAAAATAAATGTTGTGGTACTTTGGTTAGCTATGCCTTATCAAATATTTATTTTTACTATTTAAATAAAGATGTTTAAGAGTCCATCAGTGGTTATAATGGCCCATTACTTACTCTGTTTCTACACCAGCCATAATGATTTCCAGAGGTCTTGAGTTGCTGCTGCTGCTGGGGTCATGATAATGGATGTTCTTCAGGTTGGTTAATTGTTTCAGTCTATCAGTAGACACTACAGGAACCCTACCTAAGCCTCCATTCAAATTTCTACTGCATAATGATTGTCCCACAAGTATTCCACATAAAAGGAATTGTAACAATTTTCAAATGCAAGACCAGGGAATGTATGCTCTGATTTAATTCATCAAAGTAAGTTGTCATGTGTATCATCTCTAAAAGTGCATAGATTTTGCAGAAATCATTGACTAGATTTTGAAGGTCAGGCCCTTTCTGACCTGGGAAAATTGTGTAGAGAATTATTTATACTCTATATGGTTAAATTCCTACATGGTTGTGACAACTGTTTGGCAGGTGGCAAGTAAACATGGCATGTCACAAGCTTTTAGTTGATTCTTAGTAGTGTTTCCCACTCATCTGAAATACAGGTAAAGATGTTGTGACTAACTGTGAGAGCTAAGATGTGGCCACATTTGCCCATTTGAATTACTTTCAACTCTTGTCTCATTGCAGCGTCTCACAGGTCTCAGGACAGTAGTTGACGTCCCCTCCAAAAAGGAGGCAAAACAAGGATGCATGTCATGTTTCTCTCTTTTTGTTGCCCTTTGAGAATCCGAGAGAGACATTTAAAAACTGTCGAGCTCTTCTGTTTTTTTCCCTTCTGCTCTGCAGAGAGGAGTTCTGCAGCAAGAATTCATCTTTCGTGAAAGCTCAGCGATGCTAAAGCCAAAGGGTTGCCCACTTTTGTCTTTTGTTAGCTTGTAAGAAGCTTTTGACTCCAGTGATTGCAGTCATCTTTTAAAAATATTCTTCCATACTGTGTAATTCCAGAACTCCAGTCAGGGCAGTCTGAGTAACCCATCAGAAATGTCCCTTGTCAGGAATTCAGTCACAAGGTTTCCTCACAGCGCCACAGTCTCTGGCCCCTCACACATTACTTGTGTATTACGTGCTCTTACATACCAGTAGCTCAGTTTTTTTCTCAAAAGGCAATTGTGTGGGACACAAAGAAGTCTTGTTTGCTGCTTGTATCTGACAAGCAGATTGATTGATTATGTATTTGATTAGGTCCGTGGGTCTGCACAGAGGAGTCCAGTATGGTGAAAACAGCATCACATGAACATTAATGGAATAATTCATACTTGGTAGAGAACTAGAGAGGATGGAACAATTTATGGGCAGTTTCAGATACTCAAGCTGTGAAATTTCTCATACTCTTGAACACCTTTGAACTCCTGTGTAACACTGAGAACAAGCAATACACTCTGTTGCCACAATTTTATGGGAAGAAATGGAAGATAATTTGCTCTTCATTAAACTAAAGAGGCTTAGCCTCTCTGATCCGTCAGATTCTTGTTTGCATTTCAAAGAGACTCGCTGAGAAGGTCATTGTACTTTTGGCTCATTGTGCCTGTGTATCAGTAGTGTACATGATTAGTTTTGAATAGTTGCTCTAAAAGTCTGACACAGAGCGTCCAAGAGCTGAGGTCATTAGGTCACTAATTTTGCTGTTGCACGTGTTTCATTGTCCATATATCAGGGAAGTCCTCGTGTCTTAGAGGACCCTTTGTAAGTACCTTGACATATATTCTCTCCATCAGTTTTTAGTTTTGATTCTCAGCACCCATCAAAAAAAAAACCCAACAGGTGTTTCTTGCAGAGCACCAGAATTAAAGATAATTACATGGATTACCAAGTCTATCTACCAAGAAGCAGATACTGATTAATTTCAGATAAACTCAAAATTTCATTTAAGGTAATGAACTGACAACTATGTATTATGGTGAAGACGGGTAGTTTCTGCATGTTCCATCTCCATCTCTTCTAATTTAACACTCAGATCATGCTAACTGTAGGGATGGATATTTGCTACACTGAAAACTTTTTAAGCGTTTTTACAAATAGCATTTATCAAAGTATTTAGTGCAGTCCAAGTTTGCCATGAGTTTTCTCCTAGCAGTTCCATGTGGATTGCTTTGATTCTACTTCATGGTAACTTAAAATGCTAATTTCTTAATGTCTTTCTATAGTAGCCATGGAGGAGACAGGGAGGATCCTGTAAAGATGCTGGACTCATCAGCAGTGAAACTGGTCAAACCTGTTGAGTGACAGAGGCAACAACTGACAGAAGCTGTGCCAAGAGGGAAGCCAGCTGTCACAGCGTCAGGGAGGAAGTGGGTCAAAAGGGACCAACCCAAAGGGCAGGACCTTAAGCAACCCATCATCACTCCTTCCCACCCCTAGCTGTCACCATTTTGAGTTGTTTGCATGCCAGGTCACATCTCCAAAATTCTTGGCACCAGTCCAGCACTGGCTTCCTGTCATGTGGAAAGTCACTGCCATACCACTGACCCTGTCAGTGAGTGCAGCCAGCCGAGAGAAGCTTGCTCTGAGGGCATGGTGGAGTGCAAAGGTCAGAGCAAAACTGCCCCATCCAGGGGTGGTCTTTTTTTATTTTCATGTCAAAGCTGAGATCCTTATGTTGTTTGAATGCTGAAGCTGTTGCTTTTAGGGAAAGTTCCAATAATCAAGACCCAGGGTAGAATCAACAGGAGCTGGCAATAAGTCACTTCTTCTGTGACCTATTCAGGCCCTTTCCTGTTGCACAGCAAATGGTTTTATTTTGGTCTCAGTTGTCCTGGGCAAGTCAGAGGACAACTTTTTGACACATTCAGTACTTTAAGTAAAAGATTTCTGTCCACTAGAACACTAAATATCTACATCACTTCTTAGCATGATCTTTTTGTACGTAGTCCTTTGGTGTTTACACAAATTAAAAATTTATGGTATATTCTTAGGAACAATTATTATTCCACACTGCCTAGAAAAAAACCCCTATTTTCAAGGGAGGGTTGTTTTTTTTCTTTTCCAAATACCTTGAAAAAAATACTATTTACAGTTTTCATTTCTGCATTTCTCTGATCATAGGCCTGTTGTTGATTTTTACCATAAAAACTGTGTGCCTATGCAATGCAATACCATCTTAAGGTATTTGGTTTTACACAATAGCAAGACTGCACCATAAATTTATAATTTTCATCACTCTATAACAGATTGGAACTGATTTTGTAGCATGTGATGGATTTTAAGATTAATGTTCATTTAATTGGAAAAAAAAGTATAAAATATGAGAGATACTTACCCTACCTTTTCACTCAGTAGGGGAGAGCACATTAGACTTTTTATATTATGCAGAGGCTTCTGTGGTCCCCAGTGCACTGTGCACCTGTGTTCCCACATTGATGGATGATGGTGTACATCCCTTAGCTAGAGCCAGACTTTGAATTTAGGTATGTAAACAGTCCAGAGGCAGAGATCCAGACAAAACACCTGTCAGTCTCACAGTCCCACTCTTGCAGAACTACTGAAGAGGGTCATTTCAGAGCCAGAAAGGAAAGCTCCTGTCCTGGAGGCTGAGCTGGGCTGTGGCAGCAAAATATGTCAGTGCATGAGAGCAGGACTGACTGTCCCAGGGCAGACCAAGGGTCCCCTTGGTCCCATTCCATCCATCCCCAGCACTGCCCGGCAGCTAATGAGTCCATGACCAGGGCAAGCATTTGGGGATACTTCCCTACAACTCTCCCATACAATTTGTAAGTCACAGACTTCTTGAGACTGATGCATTGTTGTTTAATACCATGAAAAATATATATTTCCATGAATTTGTCTAATCGCTTTTTGAATCCATAGCACAACTTAAAATCCATTGCATCCTCTGGAAAGGAATTGCCCAAGTTAAATGTACTTTATGAAGAGACATCTCTTTGTTTCTTTTGAAGCCATTGCACTGAGGTTCATTTAAAGACACCTTTTGGATAGGAAGAGACATTTCTCCTCTCAGCTCTCTAGCCCACTGAGGACTGTTAAGATTTTTTTTCTTATTTCTCTGCACTATTTTTGAAAGGGAAATAACTGTGCACAATTCTAGACACAGGTGCATCATGCATACATTTGCATAGTGATATTTGTTCTCTATTCTGCTCTCTGTTTTCCAAAAATTCCTAACATGATGTTATTTTTTGACACTTGGTGAGCACTGGGCTGACATTACCTTAGAACTTACGTTTAATTAAGGAAATAACTTTTTAGAATCTAAGCCTTAGAATAATCTTGTCTTTCTCCTCCTGTCTCTTGCTCATGGCCTATGTGGTTTTTAGAAGACGAGGTGATTCAAGTGAGGTGTCATGGGTTCAGGTCGTTTTTCTGCTAGTCCCTCCCAAACCCCCTAACAGCAGTTGATGAAGGTGTGCAAACTCTATGCATTTTGGTAGGACTGACCGAGACCGGTTTTTCTCCTGTCCTCCCATCATTTACCTGGCTTTGTTTAATTCTGTAATGTGTTACTTCCCTTCCATCTTCATTTTAATTATCCCTACTGTACTTCTTACATGGCTTCATCTCTTACTTCAAAGGTGCATCTGTGTACCTCTTGTATTTTCTTGTCTTGTTACAGTGGCTTTCCTGAGGGGTATCTGAGTTTTCTGGGCAGTGAAGGCTTTTATTTGAGTTAATGCAGTTTTTCAACGTGAAATTTCTTTTAGTTTTGAATACACTGTATTTGCTTTCCTAAAAGAAGTGGGGATGCTGCCCAAGATGCACATAGAAAATAGTATGCTTTTTGAAAGAATATTTTCTTTCATTTAAATCTACCATTTCATTGTAACTTTATATTTCCTAGTATGGCCCTAAGGGGGTAAGTCTTAGCCTGAATAAATTTTGAATGATAAATGTGATAGACTGAAGGATTCTTGCTTTTCCTTGTGAAGAAAGGGTTAATTATAACTCAGTCTCTCGCCTATTGCAGAACTACTCAAGATGAAGCTATTTCTTGGAAGAATACCCTTAGGAAGTTAGTGACCTAGAATGAGCTTGGCATAGAATTGCCTTTTAGCCTTAACTGTGATATTTGCTGCTG